TCTCACGATGGTTGTTGACGCTAGTCATAATTCTAAGGGCTGGATGTACGCTTTCGTGTCCCATTCGGGGTTAAAACTATTTTTTGGAAATCTCTAAGTTCTAATTCATTTTAAAGTGCTTTCGCTGTTATTAAAACAAATGACTAGTGTTTACTATCTGGTCTTACCGCAGCTGTCGCTTGTTGGTATGTACCTTAATTAATTTCCCACTGTCGTGGCAAAACTACTTTTAAATAAGTTCTCGCTTTCGCGACGAACGTTTATTCAGTAAATAAATTTAAACACTCAGACCATAAACAACTTTTGAAAAGGAAAGTTTTCAACCGGTTATTATCAAATCCCGTCTGAATTATTATTACATATCGATTACTCTGATTTAGCTAGACATGGATTTGGGAAAGGTAAAACATAAATAAAAACAGAAACTTAGAACATTCATATTACTGATAATAAAAGTTACAATTAACAAAATAATGAAAAACCTGTAACGTATCCAATTGGCTTTTGGCCAAATCCCAACGATGTCGGCGGGATTATGTCTTCAAACCAATAAAGCGCACAAATGAATATTGTCGAAATAGAATACAAGAATAAGGAAAGGAAACAAAAAAATAGCAAGAAATAAAACTGAACTTTTGCTCTGGAAATAAAATTGGGCAGCACTTCGTTGTCTGAATGCGGCTCCCTTTCTCATCTCCCCTTCTTCCCTTTTTATAGAAATAGAATTCTAACGGTTGTAATTTGAAGAAGGTGGACTTAGAGGCAGAAATATCAGGGAGTAGTGGTCCACTATTTGGGACTTGGAACTGCATTTTGCACGTTCATTTGATGTTGGGCGTTTTTGCCTGCATGACGGTCGTCACGGTGTGTGACGGTCGTCACCCGTGTGACGGTCGTCACCCGTGTGACGGTCGTCATGGAGGTGTGACGATCGTCACAGCAGCAAAATATGCATTATGCGTTTTTCATGTTGTTTTCATCCGGTTTTCGTCCATATTTCATCTGTAATTGCTTCTTTTCTTCACATTGCTTTGTTTAGACATGATTATCAAATACCTGCAAAATATCAGACAAATAACATGGAAATAACCCGAAATCGGATCGAAAACAGTCGAACATCAGTTGAATTATGCATCAATATATATATATATATATATATATATATATATATATATATATATATATATATATATATATATATATATATATATATATATATATATATATATATATATATATATATATATATATATATATATATATATATATATATATATATATATATATATATATATATATATATATATATATATATATATATATATATATATATATATATATATATATATATATATATATATATATATATATATATATATATATATATATATATATATATATATATACGGTTTCGTGTTATCATTAAACCATGTTTTATTTCAATTTTTTGTTATCTTGATTATGTTTCCTTACAAGGAAAACTTTGGATTATGCTTTTTTAAGTTCCACTGTCTTTTGAGCAATTTTTGATAACTTTTGGAAAAACCCGTTGTTTACGGAGCCTTGACCTATATTTGATTTATTGGGAAATGTACGCCCTTTGAGGTGATTTTTTTTTGAGTTTAATATTTTACTCTAATAAATGAGAATATTTTGCCATTAAAATTGTGGGGTAGAAAAAGGTGTTATATTGCACCCTAAGACAAAGCCCAAAACTATAAAAGCCCAAAATAGTTAACATTACTAAAATAAGCCTAAGTCGAAATCCTGTACGAAGCAACCTGTTTCGACACTTCGTCACACTAATACAACTCGACACATAGATATTTCGACACAAATAATTACATTCTTAACACAATTCACGCCTCCGCCTTTATTGTGTTTGAAGTCACTTAGTCAACAAATAACCCCATGTAAGATCAAGATAAGAGTAATCACCAAGTCACTCTCCTAAACAAAAATATCACTCATTCTTCTAAGATCTTATACTCAAGACCCTGCCTCTGCATTAAGATATGGAAAAGCCTCGAAAATCAAACACTCACATAGAGAAACAAAACTTAGCCAAGAATGATCCCAAAAGAAGGTATGGTGGCCACTACCCATCTTTCTAACCAAACCAGTCACAAACCAATCATAGTTAGAATCTTAAGCAGTGCCAAAGAGGGTTATCCTTCCTCTACCAAGATGAAGAAAATTTAAATATGACAATTCTCTCCCTACGTAGGCACAAACCGCATGAGCTATATACCTCGCACAAAAGATGATCATCCAAATACTAGTTTCATGGATAATCTTCCAACATCATTTCTCTAACAATGTTTGATTAACCATGGACATGTCTGTAATGCACAACCCTTCATTCTTTTCGATTTGCACATCAGACCAACAAATTAAAGAAATCTTTGACGCCCATTTCCCAGCATCTCATTGAGACCTCTTTAAAACGTAACTAACCTTTTTCAAACCTTAATTGGTATTTTTTAAAAGAAAAAATAGAAAATAAAGATGAAATTAAACACCGAATTGATAAGAACAACTCTCTCACCTAAGCTCATATAACAATTAATATAAGGACAAGTTTTAAACTATCAATAACACAATGGATAAGCATATAGGCTTGTTTGGGGTTATAAATCCTAAATATTATGTATTGTGCAATAACATCATATTTTTGTAGAGAGAGAGACCCAATCTACAATCATTATTTTTTAAAATAAAAAGGATTGATGTTTTTTTATGCATGCATGAGAGTAGTGATTACTACATAATGCAATAATGTTTTTATATTTTCAAACAGTGTCAATATGTTTTGTTAGGGGTTAAATAAGTTTGTGATCTCTCTAAATATATTATTTTTTGCTTTTAATCCTTAAAAAAAAATTCTTAAATAATAACCCTCGTAATATTTTTCATCTACATTAATGGTCCTTCTAACTTACAGTTGATGACGAAGGATGACAAAAATAATGACGTAGTGTGTCACGTGATAACTTTTAACATTTTATATTAATAAATTGAATTGAGATACTTGACACTAATTTCGTCGCATAAAAGTGAAAAGGGGTATTCATATTAAAAATTCAAAATTTGTTTCTAAATTTAAGACAAAAACTCAAAATCCGTCACTAAAATTCATAATTTGTCACTACAATTCAAAATATCTCACTAAAATCATTGCGGAAGATGAATATTCATAATTGATTCCAAAATATGTCACTAAATTCCATAATCTATCATTAAAACCCAAAGAAATAAACAAATTTATTAAAAATTATAAATCATTTATGGATAAACAGTTAGATTTAATTTAAAAGCTATAAAATTTACTTTTTGAATAAGTTGACCTCCACTAATATATATATATATATATATATATATATATATATATATATATATATATATATATATATATATATATATATATATATATATATATATATATATATATATATATATATATATATATATATATATATATATATATATATATATATATATATATATATATATATATATATATATATATATATATATATATATATATATTAAAAACTAGAAATCAATTATGAATAAATGTTGTAATTAATTAATTTATTTTAAAACTCTGTTTTTCTTTCATTATTTTATATTATTTGGGATTTTTTTCCACCTCTACTTTTGCAAATATCACAGTAATAATTAAGATAAAAAAAATATTTTTAATGAAGAAGCCCAAATGATTATGATAAAAATAACTTTTAAGAAATATTTATAAGTTTATTTAATAATATTATGAAAATGATTATAGTGTAAAAAATTAAAAAATATATATAAAATAAAGAGATACTAAAACATATTTGATCTGACCAGAAGAGGATCACTGACTGGCCGCGCCCTGCTGGATTTATGTCTGTTCAACGGTGTATAAGAGGAGATGGGGAGTGTACTTGTAAGACACTCTGACGCCAAAGTAAGAAGTTGGACAAAGTGATCACAAGTACAGAAAAGAGTAAGAAGAGAATACCTGACCCTATTGGAGAAGAGGGTATTTATAGAGAGGCCCCAACGCAGGGCCAACGGCCATTTGAGTTGGGCTGGATGGCCAGACCCAACCCAAGTTACTGCTAGGGCTTACGTGGCGTTGTGAAAACCAGAACGTGGTCTTCGCCCTAGTTCAACTGCTCTGTGAACTCCGGAAAGTGGGTTGACCTGCTCTTTTGGAGGTGGGCAGTTGGTGGATAACGTGTCCCTGCGGAGGGGAGCACGTGGAGAACGCGTGAAAGACACGTTTGTTCTGCTCGACAGGGGGAGAAGGTCCAGCCCGTGGAGGGTATTCTTTGCCTGACGGGGGACTTTGTGCTCGACGGCAATAGCCCAAGCCGGATTGGGCCTACTACACATTACTAGGTTGGATCTGCTCGGTCAAGTCGGGACTCAGGCCAGAACAATATTTAAGGTACTAATTATTTCATTTGAAAATAGATAGATAATTAACAAAACTTGCCTATAAAAAACTTAAGAAACCATGTCAACTTTTACACTACCAACATGTTATTTAAGTTTAAAATTAAAAAGATTATCAATTTCATTTGACAAAGATAATTGCATCTTTTCCTAACACTTGTTGTAATTTAATAGTTTTTCTATAATTTTACACGAGTCGTGTCTCTCTTAATATAAATTGTTATTATTAAAAAGAAATAAATTTCCAAATTACAATGTAAAAATAGCAAAAATAATATTGAAAAAACAGACAACTTTTTTTGTTTATTTCTTTTTACAGTTGGATTTTCTAAATTCCATAATTATAGATTAAATTAAGTGTGATATGATGAATGATGGTTGGCTCAATTTCATCTAAAAAAACAACCTTTTAAAAATAGAACTTCCCTCAATTTTATATAACAATCTTTCCACCACAATAAACAACTAGGGGAATAGAGGAAGAATTAAAAAAAAAACTATTTTCTTCCTTTAAATTTTTTTATCTTTTCTTCTTTATCTCTTGATTGAAAATCATGGCTAAAACTTCTAAAACTTCTAAGATTTTCCTCATATTCCTCCTAATAAATTTATCTTCATTTTTCAACCTTTGTTTATGTGACGAAACCAAGGTTAGCGATCTCGATCAGCTTCTTCCTGGTTTTGGACAATCTGCAGTTTTGCAAAATGCACAATGCATGCAAAAACTGCTTCCATGTCAACCATTTTTGAAATCTCCAAACAATCCTCCACCAGCATGTTGTACGCCTTTGAGTGAAATGGCCAAAGAAGAATCTGATTGTCTTTGCAGTTTTCTTAACAATCCTAAGTTTTTTGTGTCCCTCGATGTTACTAAGGATGAATTGATGAAGCTTCCTAATGCTTGTGGTATTGATGTTGATGCCACCAAGTGCGATGCCTCTGCAGGTAATTCATTTCATGAGTTTTTTTTTTATTTGAAAAGTTGTGTTCATGTCAATGGCAATAGCCTATAAGCAATTCAAGAAGGCACATAATTTAAACAATGGCAACTAGATAAAAAGATGTCCCCAATTGCTAACAAGGAGCAACCATTTTAGGAATGGGAAAGCGGATTCCAGCTTGTCAGACTTACATGTCTGTTTACGGTTTTTTTTTCTCAAACTCTTGTTGACACAAGCATTAACCTGACATACATGACATTTTGTCATTTTTTTACTTAAGAGGTGCAATCCAACCAAACCCACCCTACCCTGGATTTTGGTGGCAATTTTTGATGGCTGAGTCAAAAATTTAGGTTTTCACCCGCTGTTATATCTGTTTTATTATGTTTTTTGACGGATTTTTGTTGGTGCAAATATTAACAGGGCGGATATGATTTTTTATCACTTTAAATTTAAGGGATATAGGTACCGCCACACCCTTTCCGCTAAATTTTTAACCGGTGAGGTGGGAATGTTTGTTTGTTACCTCTAAACCATATTAACTTTCCCTTAGATAAACCTAATTTGTTTGATTGAATTTTATGAGTTTTATTAGTTTTTTTAATTGTAAAAATATATTGCATGTGTAAATAGTTTATTAATTAGAGATCTTATTAGAAGTTTCATAATTGTATCTTGTATTCTTGAGTCTTTATTAGTGTGTTACCTTGGAATTGCACATGTATTAGGTGACATCTATTTGTTAATGTCCTTAAACCCCTATATTTGTCCTTAACTTTTCATTTGCATTGCTTTGAAAGTATAGTTCTAACTTTCAACTTGTTTTTGTTTCTTTCACAGAAAACGGAACCACATCATCAACAGCGGCGGCGGCAGCGGCAGCAGGAGGTAAATCATCAGACATACATACTTATGTCCATAAATGTGTGAACTTTTTGAACCATAAAAAGTTAGAATTTTATTCAACAAAATTTGGATTAAAATCATGTCTAAATAATTCTCAATCGGCGGATGAAAATCAGATTACACGTATTACAATTCTACTAAATCGATCTTAAGATGATTTTCGATAGATTCGACTAATACTGTATTTTCTGCTTCCAGGTGAAGACACAACAGGTGAAGACACAACAGATTCCAGTAGCTCAACAAAAATGATTACTCCATATGGAATCACTTATTTTGGTGTATCTGGGTTTGTTACATTGTTGATTGCTCTAGTATTTTCTGCATACTAGAGAGGAATAAAACATGTCTTGTGTATGAGTTTGTTCACTGCTAAAATTTCTTTTGAATTTTATGTCATGACTAAAAAAAGAGTTAAGAACATGAATTTAGAACCTATCAAATAGTTTGGTAAATAATAAAAAAAGAGCCTATCAAATATTGCAACATGCATTTTGAATTTTTTTAATGTTGCAGTGGCTGTGATCCATTGTCATTAATAGATGGATCAAATACAATTTTTATTACTTCTATTTTGAGTTTTGGATGATCTTTCATTCTTTTTAACTTGTGACCTATATATGAGTTGATTGGTGATTTATTAATTTGTTAATGTTCTACTTTTCAACATTCATTGTTGTTGAAATAAGAAAAGTATGTAAGAAAATAAGGAAGAAAGTAAAAGAAAACATTACATATTATCACATTATTTACGGTTTATAGCACAAGTACTAGTCATAATAAGCTGTTTTTATAGTAAAACATCAACAAAGATAAATAAATAAATTAAAAAGGGGTTATTGCCACCTCTAATACAACATCCATTCTACAAAATAGTATTAACTTTTTCAAATAAAAAATTGATCAAAAGATAATAAATATCCATATATTTATTATATTGCCTCAGAATTTTTAAACATTACTTTGTTCAATGAGTATCACCTCACTTTCATTCTACAAGTGTTTTTGAGGTGAGAAGTAACCTTCTGGGAAGACTTCACTTGAATATCACAAGTCGCTTGAAAATGATCCTTAGCAATTGAGACTGGAAGATTGAGAAGACAATACTCCAAAGAGATAGTTATATATATGACTTATATCATATGTTAAATGAAGGTGTTATGTGTCTGTAAAATTCAACAGTAACAAATTTGCTATCTCCTCTTATTTTTCTGTCTTAGCCTCTTGAAAGCCATAAATGTAACTGCTGCAGAAAGAGAGTACCTGTCCCAAATACAAAATCAATTTTTTTTGTTAGAAAAATCTAATCATTACCACCACATTGACAAGTGGCAACCATTTTCCTTAATGTTGAGCTTCATTCATATCCACATGTAATTTATCTAAATTAAATCCGATGCAGTAGCCATTTTGATGCAATGCACAATATTTAATGAGTAAAAAGAGAACAGAGAGTTGCACACCACGTCAATATGTAGTTTAGGTGATCCTGAGGCATCACCGAGCTTCGAATCAAGGTATTGACATCCTTAGGAAGAGGATAAGGATTACTTGGATTGATATTCTCATTAACATCTTCAACATATATGGTGTTTTCTGGAAGGCCGCACTCTCGGGCAATGCTAGGAACATCAATATAGAACCACTGGGAAGACTCGGGATCATTTGCAGGAACAAAAATGCTTGGTTTCTCACTTCCACGAACTACACCAATCACTTTGTTGGGCGTTACAGATGGGTCCTGATCCTGTAAATGAGCAATGTTTAAAAAAAATGTTTTAAAACCAAACTGGATGGTTCATTCAGTTGAACCGTGATTCAACATATTTGATTCAGTTATTTGAGAGATTCAACTGCGGTTTCCTGCCGATTGAAGCGGTTTAAAGCAGTTGAACCGTGATTCGGAGGTCTAGCTGATTTGATGCTCGGGTTTGGATTTTAGAACATTGAAAAGTGGAAGTAAGTTTGAGTCTACAATTTTCTGCATTAAACAAGGAATGATATTCTGGGAATATGACAAGAGGTAGAGACAACCTCGCTGCTAACAGGCTCTTTAGACCAGAATCTCCACCAAGATCTGGTTCCATCGGATTGTGAAGGGGAAGGAAGTGGATCTGCAAACTGTTCATCATGTGAAGCCTCTAAAAATTTTTCTTTCCAACTACGGGGAACCCATCCTCTGTTAACTAGAATTGGAGAGCTCACACTGCAAGAAGCAATACACAATAAAAAAAATGAAGAAACTCAGATAAAATAAAACAACCAACTTGAAAATATGGCAGTGAAGCCTGAAAAACAAGCAATTGGCTGCTGATGATCAAGAAATTTTATTGTTTATAATATGATTCAGATATGTTATTTTAGAAAAATTAAGATTTAGAGCTCATGAAAGTGATGAAAATATATGCAAGAGTTTGGTGACAATGAAACATTACAGATTGAGCCACAAAAAGTGAATAGTCTTTACTCCTTAACCAAAAGGAAATGCTTAAAGTTCATTCAGGACAAACGAAGATTGACATTACACGGTTTCAAAACAATAAACATCCGAACGTTGGTTTTAAAACTTATGATTATATGTGTCCTCATGAAATCTCCGTAAGTCGAGTTAAAGTAACAGTTTGAAATATCCATTGTAGTATGCAACATAATATGTAGACTAGACCAGAACATATCCATAAACTTGACTCTAGTATTTAAAACACTCATCATATGTAAGTGTAAAATATTAAAATTTCTAATGAGTTAATGCATTTGCATTACTTTCATTTAAGCTCTTAATAATTACAATTTACCTGTCAGGATAATTATGCACTGGCATAAGAGGTGTTATAACAAAGTAACCATTTTCAGTAACTCCTGAAATGCTTCGTGAACGGGGCCCCACATAGATTGATTTTTTATCATCAAAAACTCCCTTGCACACCACTTTTCTAAATTCCAGAGAATCTAACTCCTCGCTCGACGGATAAGCACCGCTGAATTTCAATGGTTCCATTTGCAACCTCTTCCCTCGATATTCCAGCATTTTAATCTATAGCATTGTAAGATGGAAATAATTTTCATTGACATAATCTGCATAGTTAATGTCTAAATTTGGAATCTCAAAAATCTATATAAAATTAACTCGGTCCTTAAGACATGTTCCATCAAAATTGGTTGAACATGAATTGAATCAACACCTGCTACCTAGAATCTCTACAGTCCACTATATGTTGCCAAATAGTAAATTCAACAAATCAAAAGCAAAATGCTTAAATATTGCAATGCCTTAATGCATCAAGCTCATGGAACTTATCTAGATCACTAACATCAATGGACCAATGAAACACAATCTTGACAGTCACAAATAAAAATACACATAATCTACTACAGTCTATGTTGTAATATTAGTATTATTATTATTAGAATATGTTGAATATCATACAGCTCATTATGAGCTGCTATCCTATACAACTTATTATGAATAATTAGCATTTATAGGAGAATAATTACACCCTTATTTAGATAGATGTATAGTCTATAAATACCTCTTATGTATTCTTTACAAGATATATAAAATATTTCCATATTTCTACATGGTATCAGAGCTCCCGATTCTAGGGGCTCTGCTTCCGCGCTCAAAACACTAGCCGTTCTTATTACGGTCCTTTTTTTTTTCAAGGTTCCCTTTCTCTTGGAACCCTAGTGATCTCGGTGACTTTGCAGCCATCGTGCACCGCTCAACCGCCGTTGCAGATCCGGACGTTTTCACCTTCATCTTTTTTTTAGGACAGCCTTCATTGCCGTACCTCTATTTACTTGCTGTTTGCAGCCCTTGATTGTTCGGTTGTCATCGTTGTTGGTGTTTCTAATTGGCAGCCCTTCGATCCTCTCCTAACAGTAGATCTCGATCCTCTCCTGGTTCGAGACGGTTTGTTTCTCTCTATGGACTCCTTGAGTAAGTTCTCTAACACTAGTTCTCTGACCATGATGGGTAAGAATTCTAGCTCCTTAGCTTTTAATGCCTCTTGTTCTAAAGATATCTGGATTATTGACTCTGGTGCAACTGATCACATGACTCCATATATGTCATATCTCTCTTCTTATTCACCTTTACCTAATAAAAACCATATTACCGTTGCAAATGGGTCTCAAACCCCGATTGTCGGATCTGGTAACATCCACCTAAGCCCATCTCTCCATCTAAATGATGTGCTTCATGTCCCTAAGCTTTCTAACAATCTTTTGTCCATCCATAAACTCACTAAAGACTTGAACTGTGTAGTAACCTTTTTTCATTCTCATTGTGTTTTTCAGGATCTTGCCACAGGTAAGACGATTGGAATTGCTGAGGAACAGAACGGGTTATATTGTCTGCCTCATAAGGAAAGTAAGTGTCATCAGGCTGGTTCAGAGTCATGGGCAAATACTCAAATATGGCTCCAACACAGGCGTCTTGGACATCCTCCTTTCCAGATGCTCAGGTCTCTATTCCCTCACTTATTTACCAAAGTGTCTGTTGATTCCTTTCATTGTGATGTGTGTCAGTTTGCCAAATCTCATCGAGCAACCTATTCCCCTAGTAATACTAAGAGTGTCGAACCCTTTGATCTTGTTCATTCTGATGTATGGGGGCCTTCATCCATTTCCAATATTTCTGGGGCAAAATGGTATGTTACCTTTATTGATGATTGTACTCGGGTTACATGGGTTTTTCTTATGAAAGATAAGTCTGAAGTGTGTCAATTGTTTGTTAACTTTTTTCAAATGGTCAAAACACAGTTTGGAAAACCTATTAAACGGTTACGGTCAGACAATGGTAAGGAGTATGTAAACCAAAATTTTTACAATTTTCTCAAAACTAATGGTGTTGTTCATGAGTTGACTTGTGTTAACACTCCACAACAAAATGGGGTTGCTGAAAGAAAAAATCGTCATCTTCTTAAAATCACCCGAGCATTACGCTTTCAAATGAATGTTCCTAAATTTTATTGGGGGGAAGCTGTCTTGACCTCTGCTTATTTAATCAATAGGTTACCTTCTAGGGTGTTATCTGGTGTTAGTCCCGTGCAGGTCCTGACTCAATTCTTTCCGTCTGTGCCCATCTTGTCAAGTCTTCAGAATCGTGTCTTTGGTTGTTCTGCCTTTGTCCATGTTCATGGCCCTCATCGAGGTAAGTTAGATCCTCGAGCTATTAAATGTATTTTCATAGGATATGCTTCAGATAAGAAGGGGTACAAGTGTTATCATCCTCCTAGTCGTCGTGTCTATATATCCATGGATGTTACTTTTCAGGAATCAGAGTCTTTTTATCCCAATCCTCAGCTTCAGGGGGAGAATAATCAAGAAGCTGAGTCTTCAGAGTTGTCTATTCTTCCTGTTATTCCTCTAATACAGGACCCAGAGTCGTCTCCTGAATTGTCTGTTCTTCCTGTTATTCCTGTAATACAAGAGCCTTTGATGCCTAATGAGGATGGTGGTGATGTATCAATACCGGTGCATAATAATGATGAGGATGGTGGTGATGTACCAATACCGGTGCATAATAACGTTGACAGATACAAGTTACAGTTCCAGCGAAAAAGGTGGAAAGGTAAACCCGTTCTGCCCCAACAAGTCCAATCGTCTGAACCTGAGGTAAGTGTTCCTAACCCTGAGCCTAGTAATTCTTGTGAGCTGAACCTTGATGACCTACCTATTGCTTTGAGAAAAGAAAAAAGGTCTTGTACTAAATACCCTATATCCCAGTTTGTGTCTACTGAAAAACTTTCTGTGCAGCATCAGAGTTTTATTTCAGCTATTGACTCTATTAGAGTCCCTACATCAGTACAAGAAGCATTAAAGGATAAGAACTGGATTCAAGCCATGAATGAAGAGATGCAGGCACTAGAGAAAAATGGGACTTGGGAGATTATTGAGAAGACAAATGACAAGAGGCCAGTAGGTTGCAGATGGATATATACGGTAAAATACCGATCCGACGGCACACTGGACAGATATAAGGCGAGGCTAGTAGCAAAGGGATACACCCAGACCTATGGAATTGATTATGAAGAGACATTTGCTCCAGTAGCAAAAATGAACACTGTAAGAATCATTCTTTCCTTGGCAGCTCACTTTGATTGGGAGTTGCAACAGTTTGATGTGAAAAATGCTTTCTTGCATGGAGATTTGAAGGAAGAGGTGTATATGGAGATCCCACCTGGATATGACCCTACTTTAGGAAGTAATAAGATTTGCAGATTAAAGAAGGCCATATATGGGCTCAAGCAATCACCTCGAGCTTGGTTTGGAAGGCTCACTCATGTTATGGTGTCCTTGGGTTATAAACAAAGCCAAGGTGATCATACTCTCTTTATAAAGCATTCTCAAAATGGTAAACTCACTCTTTTGTTAGTCTACGTAGATGATATGATCATAGCAGGTAATGATGAATTTGAGAAGATGAACTTGAGGAAGAAGTTGGCAGCTCAGTTTGAAATGAAGGACCTTGGAAAGTTGAAATATTTCCTAGGTATGGAAGTAGCATACTCAAAACAAGGCATTTTCATTTCTCAGAGAAAATATGTCCTTGACCTTCTCAAAGAGACTGGCAAGTTGGGTTGTAAACCCAGCAGAGTGCCTATAGAGCAAAACCACAGGATTGGGAGTGATGAGGAAAGTCCAAGGGTTGATAAAGCTCAATACCAGAGACTTGTGGGAAAGCTCATTTATCTATCTCACACCAGGCCTGACATAGCTTATCCGGTTAGTGTTGTCAGTCAATTCATGCATGATCCAGAGGAGAGGCACTTACAGGCTGTGGATAGAATCCTGCAGTATTTAAAGATGAGCCCAGGAAGAGGTCTATTGTTCAAGAAAAGTGAGCAGTTGTCTATGGAGGTCTATACTGATGCAGATTATGCAGGGTCGATTGTTGACAGGAGATCCACCACTGGATATTGTATGTTCTTAGGTGGAAACTTAGTGACATGGAGGAGCAAGAAACAAAATGTAGTTGCCAGATCAAGTGCAGAGGCAGAGTTTAGAGCCATGGCTCAAGGAGTTTGTGAATTGTTGTGGATGAAGATTATTCTAGATGACTTGAAAATAAAATATGAAGCTCCTATGAGACTTTTCTGTGATAATAAGTCTGCTATTAGTATTGCTCACAATCCGGTCCAACACGACAGAACAAAGCATATAGAGATAGACCGACACTTCATCAAAGAGAAATTGGACAGTGGTCTTATTTCTACACAGTACGTCCCATCAGGACTCCAGTTAGCTGATGTGCTCACCAAAGGACTCCCCTTAGAGCGGTTTCGAGATCTTACTTGCAAGCTGGGGATGATAGATATCCATTCCTCAGCTTGAGGGGGAGTGTTGTAATATTAGTATTATTATTATTAGAATATGTTGAATATCATACAGCTCATTATGAGCTGCTATCCTATACAACTTATTATGAATAATTAGCATTTATAGGAGAATAATTAGCATTTATAGGAGAATAATTACACCCTTATTTAGATAGATGTATAGTCTATAAATACCTCTTATGTATTCTTTACAAGATATATAAAATATTTCCATATTTCTACAGTCTACAATAGCAGGAGATATTTCACGAATTGGCACAAATATCAAAGGATTAATCATCACAACACATTACATTTTAACACCATCACACACCAAGCTTGTAAACTAAATCATTTTCTTGATCCTGACTACAAACACAAAGCGCGATTTTTACTTCAATACACAAGCTGAAACTCTATTGCAAAAAACAGTATAAATTAATTTACTAGTATGATGACACTTCTAAAAAAAATCCACTAGATCCAATTTGCTGGAGTCAGAAATATTGTGGTGGCTATGGCCAGTGTCTCGGTGAATGTGAATCAAAGCTATCAAATGAAGCTCGTCGGGTTAATTCTAACTTCGTCAATATGGATTCATAACAAAAACTAAAAAGAAAGATGTACAGATCTACTAAATGGCAGTATTGTCAATCACATATCGCAGAAAATAGTGGTCTGTATAAATCATGGTTTGCTACAATACTCTAGTGCTGCTTTGGCCTCACTCTAACAACACTTTACACTAAACTGTTTCACGCAGAATATTAGCGGTTTGTTCAAACTCTGCTATGCTATAGCTATAGAGCTACTATACTCTAGTGCTGCTTTAGCCACATTCTAACAACACTTTGCACTAAACCGTTTCACACAGAATAATAGCGGTTTGTTCAAACTCTACACTATAGCGATATAGAGCTACTATACTCTAGTGCTGCTTTAGCCGCATTCTAACAACACTTTGCACTAAACCGTTTCACGCAGAATAATAGTGGTTTGTTCAAACTCTGCTATGCTATAGCGCTATAGAGCTACTATAGCCTCTATTTAACAACACTACTAAATGGCTGCATAAAAAATGAGTCCAATTTTCGCCAGGGCCGTTTTTAGGGTGTGCAAGGTGGACTACAACGCAGGACCTCAAATTTGTTAAGGTTAAACTGTGACTAAAAAGGGTCTCCAAGGTTAAATTATGGCTAAATAGGGCCCTAGTTCTTTTTTCACGGTTGAAATATGGTTAACCTACACAGGCCTCCAAGAACTTAAGACGGATCAAGTTTTCACCACCTTCATAATAACTCACATAAATATAAATCAAGTGTCAACATAATTCACTTTTTAATACCTCCTCTCTCTCATTCCCCTTTCACATCATCAAAAATAACTTCCAAATTTCATACATTCTGATAGTGTGAAGTGTGAACAGAGATTATGTGAAAGTATACTTTCCCTAAAAAATTGAAATGAATTGAATTGAATGGCAAAAAGACGCACACACCTTCTCTTCTCTTCTAACGATTTGCCAACTCCCAAGACCAAATGCGATTGCTCCAGGTAGATACAGCCACCATTTTGAAGCTTTTCCTTTCATAAACCCAAAAAATTAAAAATCATTATTTGAAAAATGGACTTTTAGGTAGAGGGAACAACATTGAATGAGTGCATACCGTTTGAATCAGCGGAAGAAGAAAGTGTTGGGTCGGCAACAGATACGGGCGAAATGACTACATCGGAGCTGAACGGCCTGGCTGCGAAGATGTGATTGGAATTCGCGCCACCGCGAGTGAGGGTGGCAATACGGCGGAGCTCCGCGAGGGTTCTGGCGGCGGAAGTCGACGATGGCATTGGGAGAATGGATGTGAGAGAAAAGAACGAGAAATGAAGAATCGCAGAGAGAGAGAGGGTTTATGGGAATGAAACCTGCTGTGTACGAGAGCACCTATAGCTTCAGTGAACCTGCGGTAAGGAAAAAAATAAAGTAAACTAACTAATTGAGTTAGAAATGGAGTAATTTGTGATTCTTGTTTTCTTTTCTTTTATTTTTTTAATGATTTCAAATTGAATAATGGTGGCTCCCTCCATTCAAATGTCATGTTAAACGCTAACGTAATTTGTCCATTTTAAGAATATATTATATAAATTATTTTTTTTATTAGGTTTTTTAATAAGTATATTGATTTTGATTAATCACGAAAATTGCCGTGTGATTGACTTTTTCATGTCTTTGTTGTTCGACTATATGTGACACACATTGGTGGTTTTGATTAACTGTGTTTTCTTCAAGGATTATTCCCTCATTTTGAATCGGCCTAGCCACTTAGAATTGTACAATTGGTCGAACTTGCTCCTAAGGGGCGTCGAAGAAATCGGTAATTCAAGTCATTTGAGTTGCTAATTGTTGGTAACTATGATTTATATTTTGAATCAAATAGTTAAATATAGTACCCATTTGTTGGGTAAGCAAGTTAACCATCTCATGGTTGCTTTCATCCATTTGTTGTCTCATCACCATCACAAGATTTGTGGTGAAAGTCGGTATCGCTTGGGAAACGAATCTCATCCCCAATTAGTGTTGTGTGGCTCGACTAAAGTTACTTATAGTAAATCGTATGCCAATAGTGACGAATATGCAGTTCTCATGTTACCAGCAAATATCAACGCATTTGTTTGAAAGCCTGACATCATTGATATTGGCAAGTCATAAGGTTGTTCACGACCAAGCACGGGCATTGTGAAACTTGTGCCATAAGGCCTGAAGTCACTTGTCATAGTTGGCTTAGGAGTCACATGGTGACTCTGCGTTATTGGTGGGGAGAATACCACCCCCTTCTTGCGCATTCGACGGTATAGTCGTCGTGTTGGTTGTGGAGGTGATTGCTTCAGTCGAAATTGTAGTGGTCGTGCTTTTCCCCGTGTTATTAAACAATTGTTCTCCATTGTTGTTATTTTCTGGAATTAACCATTCTCATAACGTATCTCCTGGTTGGTTTTCCAAAGTTTTTTTTTATTATCCTACCATTTCTCAAACTCATGCACACTCAGAAAATTGAGAAGGTTCATAAATGAAGAACATGCAATTTTTTTAAAAAAGTAAATTTTCACACAAGGAGTCACATCAGGCATGCCAATTTGTTTACTGTTGAATTTGATAAATAAAGACAAGTTTGATTTTACTTAAGGGATTAAACTCGAAAAAATCTCAAGACATATTGTGCAAAAATTATGAGTTTGAAATACATTTGACATTAAAATTGAAAGATAAAGAAAAACTTAAAAATAACTTTTAATGCAGGAAACGACTTAAAACTAAAGAATTTAATTCATGAAGTGAAACACAAATACATACATTTTCAAATCACTCTTTGTTCACTAAACACTTTGGTACTTCGAATTTGTAGAATTTTTGTGAAATTGCGGACTCCTAAAACTACTAATAAACATTGCTTATATATTAGTCATAATGTAATCGTCTATAACGGTCGACTCAATAAACTGGGCCACATTCCCAACGACATGCAACCTTCGTCTCAGCAAGCTTTACATGTGTTTTTAGATAATCATATGATTTTATCTGCCTGTGCCTTGTTGAACCGCATGCAGTTAGTAACACCATATTGGAAACTCCAAATTTCACTAAGTCTTAAACTTATGTATCCATTGTATTTAACTAATTACTTGAAAAAATTAACCAAGGTTACCATCACCCTTCGATAGGACAAATTCGTCGGAGACATATCTGATTCCATGGTCGTAGTTGACCACTTCGACCTAGGTAAAATCCAACTTAATATACAATCTTTCAAATTTTATCACATCCTCGTATTCAAAACTTGTGTTGAAAAATTCGAGGTTACAATGAATCACCATTAACACCATATTTATTTTATTTAATCAACCATTTCCTTAATTTGAAAGACAAATTCTTGTTTTTAAATATTAATTTTTTTTCATTCTCCATCTCATTTTCTTCTTCTTCTTTCTAGATGATTATTTAATATAATTAATTTATATGATAATTATTCATTTTACAATTAAATAAATCATTTTAAATTGTGCATATATATCTAAATATATTTTATATCGTATTAAATATTTTTTTTATCTTAAAAGTCATTATCAACACAATGTCTATTTTATTTTAATAAAAAATTTATCTTAATTTAAAAGGCAAAATCTTTATTTCAAAATATAAGTTTTTTTTTTCACAAGTCATTTTTTTTATCTTTTTCATGATTATTTTGCAATTGAATTTATTTTATATTATATCAAATAAGCATTCTATTTCACATGTAATTATTAATATAATATATATTTTATTTTAATCGATAATTATTTTAATTTAAAAATTAAAATTTTTATTTCTAATCAAAACAAAAATTTCAAAAAAAATTTATTTACTTTTTATTTTAATACAATCAAATTTAATTATTATATATTTTAAGATTAATATAATTAATTTCAAATTATGCGTATCTTAATATATTTTATATCCTAACTCTTTTTTTACCAAGGATATCTAGCTAGTTAAACTCTAACATAATTTGATTCTAATAATTAATTAAGATCCTAACAATCTCAATTTAAAATAAAATAAAATAATTCAGGTGCTGCGGCCTTGCATCAGAAACAAGTCGAACTGAACACGATTGGCGGTAAAAAGTAAAAGCTCGCCATAAAACGCGGCGGAGCTGGTCACAGTGGCGGAGCTTTGTGTAGACAATAGCGACTCTCTCCGTCTTCGACGCATCTCCTTGCGATATCGCAGCCGTCGACCACCCTGCCCTAGGTAACTTAGGGTTTTTTATTTGTTTTCTGATTTCCTTATTGCTAGATTGTTTTTCTGATTTTCTCTTGAAATTCTGTTATGGTTGAATATTGATTTCTTGTTGTTGCTGTTGAATGTTAAATGTTAAATGTTAAATGTTAGGTTAGTAAGGTTGATTTCCCCTCTTCAATGCAATAACTCCCTCAGCATTAGAAACACTCTCCCACAATAACCATGTTTATTGCCATCTTGACTATTTCACTCAACACACTTGTTACATCATCATTGCTCGCACAATCTATAGGAAGGCTGCAACCAATGCATTTGAGAGTTAAGAAGTGGATGAATATTGAGGACCTCAAAGTGGACTTTGTGTTTATGAGGATAAACGGTTGAGTGCCCCTGAAACCAATGTAGTTAAGATCGTATGCTGAATCGTATGATCTGATAAAGATCATTTTTGTTTCCTGTGTGGTCAAGATCGAGCTTTCTTAAGCAAGATTGTAAAAAAACACGTTGGGCCTTTTTTTTGGGCCTGAATTATAATTTTCATGTTTTTGTGCATGTATGTATAAATATATATATATGAAATTACCATATTTTTTTCCTTCGGTAGGATCTTACGTGTCGTGCTAACGATCCGAGTTTTAGGATCTTTCACAACCTGACCAATCCTACTTAAGATCTCGTGCTTGACTACATTGATTAAAACAAAGCTCAAGAGCTTTTCATTGAAGAGGGTGAGAGTGACATTGAAGACAGTCTTTTCTTAAAAGCCCTATTGAAGTTGCAAGCATAGCACTAGCAACATGTAGTAGTGTCACTTGTGCACTAGATTCACAACTTAAAGCTACAAATTCCTCCTCTCACGATCTTCAAAAACTATTGAAAAAAAAGAGAGTAGAAATAGAAAGCAAAGGTTATAGTTGGTTTGGTACAATTAGATGTGAATTTTGTGGCTTTCTTGTTATGGAGGAAAATTTTGCCTTTTCATATAGATATAGTGACTATGGCTATAACAACGGATAATTGGGGAATAAAAAGACTGACGGTCTTTAGGGTGTTATTCAAACAGAAAATTAATTGTATGATTGGCAATCTATAGTTTTTTTTTTTTTTAATATAGAAATGTAGTTTGAACCTCTGTAGTTTATAAATAATGGTTTATTTTGGCGGCTCTCCTGAGGCGGTAAGAAATTCCATCCATAATTTCCTTTTTCTGTTTATTTTTCAGATTTTCCTTCTCTTTAGGCTTCTACTGTAGTGCTCGAGGATGCAATTCCAGCTCGATTTGCTTGTCCTGGAATTGCATCGGAGCATAGTACAGCTCTACTCTGTGCTACAAATCTGCAATTTCCATTAACAACATATAGTGCAGCTCATTTAAATTTAGCTCTCATTGTTTATATGGTAAAACAAGCCATTTCATCTTTCTATCCAATCCTTTATTTTTTCCCAGCACAATGCTAAGCCCGTCTCCAGTGAGTAACTTATTTTTTGATATGTCTGGTTCCATTTTTGGAGGTGTCATAATTGATTTTAGAGGTACAAAATTGATTTTGACACGTTTAGATATTTTCTCAGTATAATTGATTTTACCTACAGAAATTATTCTAACATGAACATAGGATTCATTACTTTTGACTCTTTATCATCCTCAAATTTATTGTTCAATTTACTTTTACATATACGTATCCAAACATAAACTAACTTTACATTCAATTCACTTTTAACCAAAATCAATTTTACAAAACCAATTCATTCAAAATCAATTTTTGTCATGGTATAACAAAGCACAAATTTAGTGTATGCTTAGTTCCTCTTTTGGAGGAGACAAAATTGATTCTAGAGGTGTAAAATTGATTTTGATCTGTCTAGTTGCTCTCGAGTAGAATTGATTTTGCCTCAAAAATTGATCCTTATTGTCCCGTTAAAACAACTCAATTGATAGCTGTATATGGACATCGGGTGCAGGTGTGCGGGTTCAAACCCACGATATCCTACTTGTTCATCTTTAATAAGGTGGACTCTAGCCATTAGGCTACTTAACCAAAAAAAAAATTGATTCTTATTTAAAGCT